GCACTTAAAATTGTGTCTATACTGTAAAGCACACATATCTACGCTTATATATTTATATGTATAACGCCGACCGGCTGCTCAAACTTTAAAACTTACAAAACTAAAACGAATACCGAATACGAGTTCAATGGATATAAATATTTCAGATTTAATTTAAATGTTGACAAAAATATATACAGTATTAGTTCTGAGTATTATTACAAAAATCAAAACTAGTCGTTAATGTTATTTTATTACGAACTTGTAAACAACGAAAACTGTAATAGTATAGTAATTGAAATGTTCAGAAATATTAATTGGAAAAAAATTTGTTGACGAGCACGACGAGAAAAGACACCCTGTTTGTTATACAGCCAATACCGTTTATTATTATTATATAATTTAAAAAAAAAAAACCTTTACCTAACGAATACGCTTTTCGTCCGTATACCTATAAACTCGTTGCACCACCGGAAATTCGCGCAGCGGGAAGACGAAAAAACCGTCGGCGCGCGACATACGCATACATATTATTATTATTTGTTTGTCGTCTTTTGGGGATGCGTCTCTCGATGGAAATAACTCTGTTCTGTCGCATCGCAGACAATTTATAGTATTGTACTGCAATAACACACCCGTGGGACGTGACGTGAAAACCGTTTAAAATAATATACGAAATATAATCATATTATTATTATACATATACGTCGTCTTGTGAGTTCCGCGATGTAGCTGAACACGTATGATGTAATATATAAGAGAGTCGTTGTTTTTTTTAATGTCGCACCGTATACTATAGTGAATTTGCACCACTGCAGTATAGGTACGATATAGTAACAACAAAAACAAAACAACAGTATAAGTGCGACATGACGTTTTCCAACAGTTTCCGCAGTAGGTACGTGCACGTGAATCGTTATAATAATATTATCTCTCCCTCTATCTCTCTCTCTCTCTCTCTCTCACACTCTCCCTCTATGTCCGATTTCGATACAACATCGCAATTAAATTCTCTCACGAAGGGTGTTGTACCCACGTATACAATATTATTATTATTACCGACTTTTAATTTTTTTTTTTGTTTCGTATTTGCTGGTACTTAAACTCACATTAATGCGATATTATATTTTCATCATAATACTATGATATTATATTTTAATTCGTTTAGTCGTGTATAATGCACTAGTAAGTCACGATGTCAACTCCGGTGATTCGCGAATCGATTAAATAATATACAACAATATTATATATTATTATAATAGTTGCAGCATTGCATAACGCGAGTTTATTGGCAGCAGGAACGAGGAAAAAAATAACGATTTATATATTATATATTATTGTGATAGGAGTATATAATATAGGAAACAGGCTATTTGTCTATAGTATACGGACAATACGCATATTGTGTTCACAAGACCTGCAGCAGTTCCTGTATAATATATATAATAATATAATATGCCTGCACGAAATCGATTGTTCATCGTAAATCAATCGAGAGTCATACACATATTAGTATGCCTCCAAGTCCATGTTTCAGCTTACAAGTTACAGGAGTAAAGTACAAACGACATTATTATACAACCCGAGGAGTAAAACTGTTATAATATATTATTATTATTATTATTATTAGATTGACTATATTGTCATATCACGAACAATATGAACATAATATATTTTACTATATAATACTGATATAATATATAACACTGCGATTACCTCGAGCTAACATCACATAATATTGTACCTATGTAATAAAGGTATACATATTGTAATTTGTAATAATGCAGTACTATTAATTATAATCAGCGGAAATATGAGCTCTTGTTTGCGGCTTGAAACTTTGTTCACTTCGGTCGTAGGTAATACGGCAACCACCGTTTTCGATAGTTGATCCTATATTAAAATGGATTATAAGTCCGTTTTTTCGGACACCATATAAATGAAACAGGACTTTTTTCAAAATTGTTTTCGTACATGGTGTATCGATTTACAAGAATACCATAATATAATAATACCCTAATGGCCTAATACATAATATTATAACGGTAATTTTATAAGAACAACGTGGATTGCAAACAATTGTATCATTATACAGGTATATTAAAACTAATATTGTTAGGTAATATGTTTTATCTTCCTTAAAGTAAAGACTTAAATCGATATATCTCATTGTATGAGAGTGTACAGACATTTTAAATTTCGTATCTTCGTTTAAACCATCGATCGACCGTTTAACGTCTGCCCATCCATGACCTATAATAATATGTATTAATGTTACTTATACATCATAAGCTATATAGAAACGGAGTTTACCGTAGTAATGCAACGTTACGGATCCTCAAGGACGTTTTCAGGGTCACGTCATCTGCACGGGTTCGTGCAGTATACGTAATAATATGCATATAATATGAGTATAATAGTATGTTGCATATTATACACGATATTGGCAGATTTTTGATATTATTCGTATAATTATTGCGAGCACGTCCATACGCATTGTAGAATCGTCGCGTCCGAATATAATAGCTGTATAGGTACATTATTGTACCATACCATTTTATGTTTACCATTCGACTACATCTATCTATGGATCTCGGTGCAACGATCGACCTCCTGCAGGCCGAGGCTCCTACAGAAATCTATTCTGGTGCGATAGGGTAAAATATGAAGTTGAACGCGGTTATTTGTTTTGTCGTAAAATTCGTCCGTTTTTACTTTTAAGTGAAAACACACAAATTGCGTACCTATTTATATTAATTATAAGAGTTATATTATGGTTATAATTTTGTAGTATATAAACGTGATTGTGACAGACGACGTTTATTCTGTTATCATATTTTTACCAGTTCACATTGCACCAATTACACTTATATGTAGGGTTAATTTTTCGAATTTCGATGGTGTCGATTTTATTGGATATACGATTGATGCAAGTGTAAGCATCATTTGCAAAGGTTATTATGCAAGGAGCACGGGATCGGTTTTTAGCGCATGTCGCGCAGAGTTCAAAACGGCAATTGATATTGTGGTTATGAGAAAATCAGAATGTGATCTGATTTATAATTGTCACATAAAATATATTATTCATCCCGTGCCCGGGAAGTGATTCGATTCTACTGACAGACTGACCTACAAATAACAGAACGAATTTATGGTCAAATATAGGAAATAGTGAGTAACGATAACCTAAGGGTTCGGACGAAACCGAAACCGGCCGAGACCGGCGGCGAACAATTGCGTAAGTGTGGTAAAATTGAATTAGAGAGTTCCATTTTATGGGCCGGTCACGCTTCGATTTATGATAACTGTTTACCCATATTATTATACGTATAGCGGGAATATTATACATGTATAATGTATATATATATATATATATATATATATTATATACTATGCAGATTTATTAGATAACAGTGTAAGATATTCAAACAGTTACAGCATCGGTATCGCTATACCATTTCGTTTATATTTATTAAATAATATATTCAGTGTGGGTACCATAATTATTATTATTATTAAGTATATTATACGAACACTTTTACACTTTTATAGAATGATTATTGTTTTTGTATAACGTTTGGTATGTACAGGCGTCCATGATAGGTTACAGTGAAGTGTTTAATGTACGGCACTATAATATGTACTCGATTAGTGTAATATAAACAGCTGACGAAACCACGAATGTCGATGGCCACAGATCGAGTAATCGCTGCACCGTAGGACCGAGTGTAAATCGAACGTTTTACACGCTGTCGCCGCTTATTATTTAGTTGTGTAATAGCCATACGAGAAGGTCGTAAGACCACGCGACCGCGTTTGACGCGAATTTATTATTTCCTACACCCGTCCACATATGGTTTATTCTCGTAACAATAATTTATTGTAATAATTACCCTAAATGTGTGTGCAAAATACAGAAAAACATTGGACATAACGGAGTAATGGTAACAACAATAATATTATTGTTTATTACCTACCTAATTTGTTCGGGCGTTTAGAGAGGACAGATTTCGAGCTATATTTTGATCGTTCACCGCTTTAAGGATCATTTACGAAGAAATTACTAATAATTATTGGTACAGAACATAATAATATGTAATTATAATTGTTATTATAATTGGCGGTGGGTATCTTTTACGTATGCACATTATGTATTTCGACGATCGCATCACTAAGACTACCTATAAGGTAGTAAAACTGCACGTTATACAACAACAACAGTATTATTTTATTGCCATTGTAATAATGTTGAGTAATTATGGGATACACAGTCGACCGTTTAACTGCAGCAGCGAAGCACCATCGGTGGTGGGACCGAAATGTAATATTGCACTATTCACGGCGACCGTGGCAATAACAATAACAATACGATATTATAGGCATAGTGTAATCATATTATGTGTGCAGAAGAATAGGACGTCTTAAAAAAAAAAAAAAATCAAAAAACATACATGCACACAATTTCTTTCCGACAATTATCATTGTACCATTATGAATCGTACGTGCGTATCCAACACGAATTAGTCGTGAACGATGTGCCCGACTCGTCGTGTACGACGCGCGTTGCAGCGTGTGTTATTGGATTTTTCGGATAGGTGAGCGCACCGCGCGATCTCTTCGACTGGGTGGGGAGTAGAAGTACTTGGACTTGGCGCTCGCGATCTATCTGCACCTGTCGATATCATAATATTATTATATTAATAGGCGGCGTGTACTTTTTGACGACATTTCTTTTCCATTTTTTGAAAATTCGTTTTATACATTTATTATATACTAGGCCACACCGTCCATTTGGTCGTCGCTGCAGTTGATCTAGAATTTAAGGTGCAGTATGCGTTAATAAGCGTCAATTCACTATACATATAGATGCATATAATATTGATATAGTTTATTTTTTCTCATGCAGAACTTATATTTCCGATAGTTATAGCACCTACTGCCTTAACCGGCATTCGTGTCATCTCCTCCTCCCCACTCGAAACACTTGTAGGTAAATAATATAATAATGTTATAAGCAGTGATGTTCCCATCATTTTGTATGAGAGTATACTACGCTGAAGAACGCCAAAATATATGTATTTCATTATTTGTACGATAAAAGTGGTGGAGAGGTTTAATTAATAACTAAAAAAATTATTATTACATTTTTATTATATCAAAACAAAATTATAAAAATGAATTATTTAAATAAATTGATAAAAAATTGTTTTCTTAACTTATCTTCTTCGTCGACGGTTTTTTTTTGTTCTTTACCACGTGGAGCTGAATCTGCTGATCTGTTTTTTCGCAGCCAAATTTTTACGTATGGTCGTGGATTGAAGTCTTCAACTGGGGGGCCATTGATGGAGATAAACATTAAATCTGACACATTTTCAATTGTTAAACGAGTTCTAAGATCAGTTATGGTGAGATTCATATCAGAAAATCCTCGTTCACATTCGGAAGTTGTTGTTGGAAGTATGTTTAGTGTTTTTATAAGATCAGAAGACGCATTTCGTGAACGAAAGTTTACTAAACTTTCAAATTCAGATAGACCAAATTTGCGTGACACTCTTTTAACTTCTTCTTCTCCTCTATCATCATCGGTTTCTATTTTAAAGACTTCTCCAATAACCTACAGAATGAAAAAAAATAAAATTTAAATGTTTGGGTACAGTAATAATTATTAATTAGATTATATTTTTCAATATTTCTTACCTTTAGATCTTGTAATATTGTTGTATTTTTATAGTCATTGAATAAGCGCTGACGCATTCTATCGACTATATTTTGCAAGAATTGCAATCTGTTGATTCCTCCAGACTTTGTGATTGTAATATTTATGCCTTTATGAATTTGTTTTTGTATAGCTTCTATGATTTCTTTTTCTTTTTCACCAGGTTCTGTCTTCAGGCTTTCTAGAATTCTAAATTCTAGAATTCTTTTATAAATTATAAAGCTCTAAATTAAATAATACATTATGTTCACACTCCACAACAGGTATTATCGACATCATCGACTTAATTGACAGCGTGTGCGGATTTGATGGTCAGACTCTAGTGGATTGATGTACGGGTCAACTCAGTACCTACTTTTACGTAAATTCAATGTGGTGTGCATACTACAACAAAAACAACAGTTGTTATTAACATTATTTTAAATTCTAAGCCGAGCGATTAATGTATAGATTTTACAATGATGTGTGGGTGTATTTTTTAATTATTTTTGGGGCAGAAAAAATGTCACAACACCGATAAACTTATACTTTCAAGTGAACAAAACCTTCAATATATTTTATTGAGATTTGGTAAGCCCAAAAAATTGTTGAATGATAGTCTAAACTACTCTAAAGTCTTAATGAGGCCCACGTGAACACGATCTTGTTCAGCGCGGCCATTATTCCGTTGAAATAAATAAACTCGTACTCTTTATACCTGGTTATAATACGTAAACAAAATATGTAAGTAGTTTTATTGCATAATTTGATGAACAATGTATTTTTAATGAATGAGAGTGGTTTAAAATGTTGCTTTGATTACGCCGGAAAATGAAATATTTTTCAAAGCAAGTTGTAAAAAACAATAAATATAATAATTTTAACGAAAAAAAAGACATCAGACAAGACGAGGCAGTGTGGGTGGTACGCGATAGCGAGTTGGTGGCGCAGGTGATGACCGATGTTGGTAAGTCTATGGCCACTGCCCACCTCTACAACGTTCTCACATTCAGTCCAGCGGGCCGGATGCAAGTGCCTTTGATCGGGACGCAAAGACGACCATGGCNTTCTTTTGCGATAACGTTAATTATTCGAGTGGCAGTTATTCGACTGTGCAAGGAAGATCCCATGTTTAATCCATTAATTTTCTGCAGTTCAATAAGTTCTTCAAACTGTAAAAATGGACGATGATGCTTTGCTAAGCAATATGCAGTTTGAAAAATTCTCATATTACTGTTAATCACAGTTTCGGACATATGGTCAAACATTCTATCCAAAACCTGTTCAGAGCCTTTCTTTAAGACGTTTTCAGCTAATAAATGAGATTTACTTTCTGAATGCTGTTTAATTTTACTTCTTAAAGAAGACAGCTGATTCGTACGATTACTTCCAGCAGCCACTATTTCAAAGTCCATCCATTCACGTGACATTCGAAGTTTACCATCAGCAATGGATTTTTGTAATTGAATACTATTTTTTACCTTTTTTTTTTTTTTTTTTTCATTTTATAATCGATAACTGGGGGTGGAACCGACGTTAGTCATTACACCCCCCAGTCACCATCATTTATTGTATAACAATTACAATAACTTCGAGGAGTTACAAGTGTTTGGGGGGGGGGGGGGGGGAACAGCAAAGGTGAGAGGCCCCTACTCCTCTCTCAGTTTTTTGCCTTCGGCATACATATATTGAACTTAAATAATTATTTTATTTTATGGCTGGTCTGCAGTTTTTCGCCTTCGCTCTTCTTCTTCTTTTTTTCGGAGGACCTCGTTGATGAAGTCGTCTATGGTGTTCCATGCTTCCTTGCTTGACCGCATCACTTCGGTCATATTATCTGGCGTGATCTCTTGCCCGAGTATTACATTCATTCTGGTACGCCTTGTGTGCCATGCGTCACATACGAATAAGGTGTGGAACGCATCGTCTGATTCGTGGCCGCAAAACCAGCACGACGGGAAAGCTAATTTCCCGAATCGGTGGAGGTAATAAGGAAAACAGCCATGTCCACTGAGAGCTTGGGTCAGTCTGTAGTTGACCTCGCCGAATGTTCTGTTAAACCATGGGTCTATCTTGGGGATCAGACGATGGGTCCAGCTTTCATTTTCGGCTGATGAAAGATCCCATTCTGATTGCCAGTTTCTTAACAGTTTGTTTCTTGCTTCTTCCTTCCGGACATTTTCAAATATCTCTTGTCTTTCTACGGCTATTAGAACAATTGGGGGCATGTCTGCTATAACCTGTATGGCATTGTAAGAAACTGTGCAATAAGCCGATGCTACTCTCAGTGCTATGCGCCTTTGCACCTTCGCTAATTCGTTTTTTCCTTTTTGACTCATCTTGGGAGCCCAGATGGGGGAACCATATAGGATAATTGAGTGTACTACATTTGCGAGCAGTCTTCTCTTCTTAGGTTTTGCTGCGCTTATGTTCGGCAGGATTCTGGCGAGGTTGTTGGCTGCTTTCCCTGCTTTGGTGACTGTGTGGTTAGCGTGTTCTGTAAAATTCAGTTTTGTGTCCAAGTATATGCCAAGGTATTTTATGCATTTAGCGCCGTTTATGCGTGCGCCCCCAAGCATCATTGTGAAGTCGTTGTGTACTCTCGTGTTTGTTAGGATTATCGCTTCGGACTTTTCGACTGCTAGTTGTAGGCCGTTGTTAGACAACCATGTCCTCACGATCTCCGCGCCCGCGGACAGCATTCTTTCTAGTTCGAAGGTGTATTTACTTTTCCCAATGAGTGCCAGGTCGTCTGCGTACGCTAGGAACTGTACTCCAACCGGGAGGGTTTCGCGCAGTAATCCGTCGTATAAGATGTTCCATAGGGTTGGCCCAAGGACCGAACCCTGTGGGACACCGCTTGTAATGTTATCCACTTTTTCAGGTCCACCATAGTTGTACTGGATTTTTCGTTCGTGAAGGTAGTCATCGAGGACTCTGCAGAGATACGGAGGTATGTCTTTTGCGTATGCTTCCCGTATTATGATATTCCATGAAGCGGAGTTAAAGGCGTTTTTTATGTCCAGGGTGAGTACGCCTACTCTTACATCCTTGCCGCAGTTGTCTACAATTGACACTAACTTATGAATGGCGTGAATAGTTGATCGTCCTTTTCTAAAACCGTATTGCGTATCAGCTAGACCGTTCGATGAGTCCAAGTGTTCTCTTATACGATTATCAAGGAGTTTTTCAAAAAGTTTACCACAAGAG